AAATATATTATTAATTAATATTAAACTATGATGTTTCAAAGTTTCTACAAATGACAGGCAAAATAAAAATGCAATTTGCTGTAACTGGTTTTTTTATAACTACAAATTTTTGCTCTTTTCTGGATTATTTTGCTTGGGCACCATTACTAGCAAATCAGTATTATAATAAGTATTGTGCCTTAATATATAAACATCACACTGAAATTTAAACGGACTACTAATGCACCAATTTTAAAAGGAATAAAAAAACTGCTTAAAATTAAAATTCAAAATTTTTACTTTTCCTCCTATTGATTTTTTGAAAAGCAGTGGTTTTTTAGTACTCTATTAGTATCACAAATGATTTAGCTTTTTACAAAGTTACTTCTTTTGAACAATTTGGGCAGAAGGTTTCCATTAGGTGCGCATGGGGCCTTTAAGAAAGCCACTAGCGAGACAGCATGACTAGACAGAGAAATTGTACTCATAGCATCTCTTGCTTTCTTTAAAAAGTCTTCTTAAGATTTTAAAATTAACAGCACCTGTTCTGGAACTGATTAGAGATTGGTTTAAAAATTAACTCCTGTGAATTTTGGTAACTGTTCTGTACAGTCCAATCTCCTGCCAAAATTGCTGGAACTGAGCGAGGTCTAACCAGGCCCTGATCGTGCATCCAGCTCTACATGAAGGAAGATGCCATCTCTGTGAGACTCCCAGCAACATCAGTACTTTGAGAAAGCCGTGCCCCGATTACAGCATCATGGGACATCCGTTATTGCCTCATACAGTCAGTTCGGCTTATTCTAATGGTTTAGAAAAGTGATATAATGAAGATAATTTACACGTACTCGACCACAAGCTCCAGGTGGACCAGTGCCTCCTTTCATCCCCTTCATCAGAGGAGAGAGATGGGTTAGTTTATTAAAAACAATATATGACATTACACTTGGTACCCACTGTTACTTCAGTACATTGCTCATAACATTAAAGAACTTCTGCTCCTGACCAGTCCTTCACCACCCCTGTCTCTGTTCCTTACACAACCATTCAGCCACATACATCAAAAACTACATGAACACATCAGCAGGCATAGACGGACACCAGTTCAAATACATGATCTATTTCAGCTGATCCATCCCCTATGCAATGATATCATGACTTGTCATCTTTTAGGTAAAGTAAAACACATTGTATACACAGTAGTAAATAAAATAACCCCAAAACGTACCTTACCCTCATCCTCAAAGCAACAACAAAACCATTAGACAATACCTTAGCTCCTTGCCTGCCAGCCAGTCCTGGTTTGCCCTGTTCACCCTTTTGTCCCTGCAGGTGACAGTACACAATTTTATGAAGATTAATCTTTTAGCACTGTCATCAGTAAGATCTAAAATGGAAAGCTTTAATCTTTCATGGCAATGGCAAGGTGAATGTGACTTGCTCAGGGGAAGAAATCTCAGGGAAAGACTCAGTTTGGGGTACAGTTCCATGTCCGTGGGAAACACTGCAGGTCTCTCATCCAAACCTGCCTTTATAATGGCACACTCCATCAATGCCAAGGTGGAGCTGCTCTGGACAGCACAAGCGTAGGAGGCTCTGGTTTGTTCTCCCTCTGCAAACTACTATTTCTGAAAGGGTAGAAACTGCATGCAATGTGAGACTCTCGCATTCAGCAACTCCCTCTCCCAGAACTTGGTCGGTCTGCATCATGGTGCTGATCTCAAGAAGTGTCAGCAAGACCAGGAGGGAAAATAGCGCAGACTGCTGTTAAGGCTTTCTGCAAGTGCATACATGCAAGGAAAAGGGACTTCTCAGAGGCTTATGCAGTTGAATACACTGCTAGTTAGTAAAGTCGAAATGGGAACAGAGCAATGACATGTCTTTGTCATGACAGAAAGTTTTCTTTCTGTTAGCTGAGGCAGTAGAGCTTTGTGGTCTGTCATTCCACGTCAGACTGGAATGTGTTTAGACTGTCTGCGAAGGTTGTTTTGGCATGATGAAGATGATGTTTTAGTAAGATATATGTGAAATAGGTTACTCTGACAATAAGAATTTTGATAAGATATTTGTAAAGTCACTGTGACCCTAATGATGTCGTTAGAAGCAGAAGTGAAGTAAATATTGGTATTTAACCAATCATGTCGTTAGAAGCAGAAGTGAAGTAAATATAAAAGAATTGGTATTTAACCAATCGAATACAGTATTCCAAATACATTTGAACAACTTTAGCTTTTAAACTAGTACACAAATGAAATCATTTTGGTTATGAAATGGCATATTTTAAGAATTATATGATGACAAGATGACAGTTTTAATATCTATCAGTTATTTTATTTCAGGCCAAGGCAGCTGTGACCTTGACAATAACTTTTCTTTGTAAAAGAAAGTCTTTGATTCTAGTGATTAAAAATTATTCATTTTGCTTCTTGATTTATGCTGAAGTGAAGGTATAACTCTTTTGCAAAATTTTCAATGTGACTAACCAGAATTAAACTCCGTAGAATTAATTTTACATAACTTGGAGGTGTCCTCAAACCTGTTAGTCAGCAGCAAGCAACAGGTCTTTTATTTTACACAGAAGAGACAACATCTATGAACGGAGCCTCTCTCTCCTGCATAAATCTATGAGGACATGGTATGTCCCAAGGCCAGCTGTGTGAAAGGAAATGTTTCATCGTGTACACAAATCAACATTTTCATACCCATTCTGCAATGGGAAAAAGCTGTGACAGGAAGATACGACCGTGATAAACAGATGACTATTACTTAGAACATGTTTAGAGGGCTTCCTTCCTTACCGGTAAGCCAGGTGGACCTGGGGCACCTTCTTTTCCGGGTGTACCCTACAAAGGAAAAACATAAAATAAAATAAAATAAAAAATTAAGATGATCAAAAGAGGGGTCATTGCATTCAAAGAGCATAACAACTAAATGCTGTGAATATAACTGTAATTTAGGTCTTTATGAATTTTGAAAAGCCATTAAGGCTATTTTAAAAACGTTCATTATTTCTAATCATAACTAAATGTTCATAAAACTACAAAACAGGGAGTAAGATATTCCCTGGACATTCCTCCTCCTGTGGAGGATTAGCTGAGCCAGACACTTGACCAGCACAAAGTGCCAGGCAAGTGCAGAAAGCTTGGTGTAAAATCAGGTCCTTGCAGAAGCAAGGCAAATGACAAAACAATACAGCAGCTAGCAGCCCTTCTAATGGTGTGCATGGAAAGATACTGAAGGGAAATTTTCTCTTACAGGAAATGGGGTTAAGGGATGACTTGAAGAGAAATTATTTAATGAAAAAGAATAGGGAGTGCACTTCAAAGGTATTGGAAGTAGGGCAGTAGATGGAAAAGTGAAAACAGAAGGCGGCAGCGTGCCAGAGGTATCTGCTGTTTTCTGTTGTGCACAGCACATTAGGCAGCTTTCTGCTGAGGTCCTGGCATCTAGTGTGCCAACAATACCTGTTAAGCAATTCTTAACAACCACCAAAAAAGACGACAAAGGGAAGGGAGAGAAGGGGGGGGAGGGAAATGGGGAGAGAAACAGAAGGAAATGAAGCCATAATTCTGAATATGGATACCTTACTTGCCACCCTGAAGGCAGAAAACCTGGTTCATATTAAAATCCACAGCAGGAAAGTAGTGATAAGATAAAAGGGGGGTAGAAGATTATGAGCTCGGAATAACAGGGGGAAAAGTACATTTTAGAAATTTGTTTTGCACAGAATAAATCAATGAAACTTAAAATAATTTTGAAAAAGATGACCAGGCCATGAATTACAATGTAAGCATCAGAAAAAACAGCAATACTCAAAAGATGACAGAACTTAACCAAAGGTGATACTCTGGAACACAAGGAGGAGAGCTGGAATGATGTCACCACAGGCTCAAAACTCGCTTGCACAAAATAATCATTTTTTCTAGAATGTAAAATCCAGAGCCATTTGATATTTTGTGCTCACTGATGCAGTTTCAACAGCAAAAGGAAACATTTTCTTTTCATTTTAGAATAGCCAGTCAGTCAATGTCTTAACACTATTTGTATTTCCTTAGCATTCTTCAAGGTCAACAGGCAGAAAAGCAAGGGTGCTCTACTACTTCCTCCAGTAAGAAGGGAGAGGTGAATTAAGAAGAGTTCTAAAAAAACGCTGCATGACAGGAGAGAGCTTTTGCAAACATAAGACATAATATTGAAGGAACACACAGGATGGAGGAAGAATAATACACATTGGATAGCAGGAGCTTTTAGTACTTTACACCAGTAACTTAAATAGAAATTAGAATTTTCATAATGTATAGGAATAATAAAAATAACAATCAAGCTGCTCTACAGCATCATCATCATTATTGCACCCTACAATTGAAGAAGGAGCAATCTACAGGTAGTACTAGTCTTGTCTTGCTACCTTTCCTTGTGGAATAAAATTTATTGCAACCACAGAAAGTATGGGGAAAAATTTTCAAAATATTATGTTTGGACTGATGAAATATTTCATTTGAAAATTATTTTTCTTAATATTGCTTCCAAAACGTATTTGGAATCAAAATTTTTTGCTCAGAAAATGTCATAAAACATTTTGATTTATTTGGATATTTTAGGGTTCTCCCCTAATTACATATTGGTAAACTGTTATGAATTCATACAGTTTTAGTTACTAAGAACCTGCATCTTTCATTGATTAGTTTTTATCCGAAAGTTTGAAAGCCATTTGAATGCAAGTTGGTACCTTTCTATTTAATTCTCTTCAAAATGTAGATATACTCAAGTAAATTATATTTTAACGTGTATGCTTTTTAAAATAAACATATGATTTTTTTCTCATGCAGCCGTGAAATTATGTAACTTACTATCCTGTTAACAGAATAACTCTCATGACAACTTTCTTCACGTTTCCACATACCTGCTGGTTGAGCATCCCAATTTAAGTCTCCTGCCTTAAGTAAACCCAATGTTTTTAATTCTCTTCTACATATACACTGGCACTATAAAGCTAGTATGTGTTCAGAAGAGAACTTTTTTTTTTTTTTTAACTAAGTTTCAACAGTAGAACCTTTACAGCAAAACAAATAGAAGCACATCCACCATCAACTGACCTTAACTTCATGTACTCGTTATCTGAGCCTACAAGAACAGTCATCTGACTTTCAGTTCTCTAGCCTGGTTTACTGGATGAAAGAGCTTTTGAATCTAAGAAAATTTGCTCTGAGTGGCATTGAAACAAAAACTGGAGAGCAACACTAGTGCAAAACTGCTTTTCATGAAAGAATACACATGTGTATTCAATTGTTTGCACATACCTGTGCTCCGGGTTCTCCTTGGTCACCCTTTTCACTCTGAGAATCACCAACTGGCCCCTGTAACAAAACCACCCTCAAGATACACATATTTTGAGACTCTCGTTTTCTAAATTAAATATAACTTTTATAATTTGTTATCTTTTTAAAAAAAGTATAAAAATAAAGTACAGTTAGAATGCTATTAATACGTATTCTATTCATTAGTTCTATTCTATTCATTAAAGGTTGGAAAAAGTAGTGTAAATACTGAACTCTAAAGAGTAGCATTTACTAGGTGATACTGCCCGAACATCTAGATTTAAGGGATTTACTTCTGGTCACTTACTGTAAACCCCATTGGCCCTGGAAGTCCTCTTGATCCTTTTTCTCCTTTCTCTCCTTTCAAGTCCTATTACACAGAAAATAAAAAATTAATATGGTCTCTTGGATTTTTCTGTGCTTACCATAACACTCAAGTTTACAAACAAGAAATCCTTACATTACCAGCAAGCTTCTTCAAGCAGGGATGGTTCTACTTAAATGACTAAAAGAAACAGAAACTTCGTATCAGCGCTCCTGCCTAAGTCTATGATGTTTGAAAAAGAAACTGGCTCTGCACGTATTTCTGAACATAGTGAGTTCAAAAGGACCTACCTGTGATTGCATGCAAGGGGACTGGAGTAAATACCCCCAGAAATGGCAACAAATTGCAGGTGAAAAAAGAAATAAACCTTAGTTCCTTCACTGGAGCTACAGTTATCTCCAATATGTAAATGCAGTGGCTACCCACACGATCCTTGCCTCTGTGGGCTCAAGATTAGACAACCTTACTCTGTAATACTACTATGTATTGAGCCACATCCTAAGGTCATTGTAAAGCCAAAGTTTATGGACTGCCTAATTATTACCTGGTTAGAGTCATGCCCCAAACTATTTATGTAAGGAGTTTTGAGGGGTTTTTAAACCTTAATGCCCAATGTCTCTGAAAAATTGCCATTCCCCCATGATAAACTGCCACAGCTGTGACTGGGAAGTGCTCCAGGTGGTCCATATTTGATTTAAACAGGGAAGAGCTGCTGTGCCTAAAAGTTGAACCTTGCTTCAGCAATCTTTCTCTTCCCTCCTCAATACAGTCTTGATACAAAATTCACTTTTTATTTTAGCACATAATGGAGAGGGAGTTTTGATAACTCCATGGATTAGATGCAAGTTAATTAAGGAAAACAGAGTCAAGAACAGGTTGAAGACTTGTTCTGTTAATATGTGAAGACTTAAAACTGTGTATCAACTACTGCTGTTTAAGTTCTATAGAAGGACGATATGCAAGAATTTTAATTCACAAAGCAATATTTAAAATGAAAGCTGAATCAGAGTATTTCCTTTCTCCAATACTCATTGTTTTCCCAACACTTTCCATGATTACTCATGTTCCAGTAGAAACAATGAGAAAATGAACTATGAAATGTACATGAACACGTTGTAAGCTTTTGCAAAACTCTGGTAGCTCAGAGTCCTGATACTTTCAGTGACAAGGCCCAGAGGGCAACACAGCTGTGGCTTTGATAGCTGTTCAGAAAATCCATGTTGATTTGGTGAAGCTAAAAGTGATTTACTTTTCAAGTACTGGGAGATCCACAGCAGGTGGGTTACTAATAAGCATTTAGCATTCCACTGGCATTGTGCAGATGTGCATGTGATTACACAGCTGAGCTGGCTGTACAGACACAGTATCCAACTAAACAAGTCTGAAATATGCTAGGATGGGTAAAAGGAAATGTTATCGGAACAACAAAGATGAAAATGTCCTCTCAAAGTAAAACCTAGTAAGATGGCTTATCTGAATGTGATGTTTAACAATTTTACTACCGTCATGTTGTCTGGTCCACTTAATGTCACAATAACGGTTCCTGGTGGTCCAGGGGGTCCAGTTAATCCAGTGTCACCCTTGAAAGAAAAATAGAGTGATTACAAGCAGTATGTTTTTATTGTTTCAAATTACCATCGCTATACTTTTGACATAGTGAAAATTTTCCTGTCATTACACTTAGCTGCTAATACAGTTAACACTTCTCTTTGCTTGCTATTTATCTTCCAATAAAAAAGGCATATGGAAGACTTAAGACTACTATGACAACCTTCTCCTAGCTGAGAAATATAAAAAGGCATATGCTGATTCCTGTTAAAGTATCTAGAATTAGCTTACAAATTTTACTACTATTTACTTAAAAGTTATATGACAATTTTAACTCTAAATCAAATAAAAATATCTCCTTGATTATTATTTTTCTCCCAATTTAAGTCAATCAATAAAATACATGACCTGTCTTTGGTGACACCCTCAAAACTGCAGTCTGTGTGTTACAGGGAGATGATTGTAATATAGTGCTGACAGATAAAGTTAGCTTTCACGTGTTCTTAACCAAAACCATTAATATCGCAGTACACTTTTTAATCAAGGAAGGCTCTTTTAGAACAGGGAAAGTCCTAAAGGTGATCTTTCCTGTGGAGCTCAACAAAACAACATCCATAATTTTCAGTGATTTTAAGCCGGTGGAATGCCTTTGCATGCACTTGCAGCGTAACAGCAAAGAATGCATCACACTCTCATCAGGAAGCAAGATGCTCCAAGGTCAACTGAGCTAATGCTAATGAATAATCAATTCTATTTACAGAAATTTTCCCAGGAAACTTCTAGCACATTCCCGGTAGTAATTACAAAGTTAAAACCAATCCCACTGTCAGATAGTGCTGTTTTGGTTGACAGCTGAATCAGTGCAGGTCAGTTAGCATAACTGTGAGATGCCCCAAGTTCTTAAAAGGGTCCTGTAAGGACATTCGGACTGACTACACTGGTCCTCCAACTGCAGGCTGAGGTCCTGAGAGACAATATATGTATTCGGAGTCATTTCTAGCTTAATGTCAATTATATGGGATACAAAGTAAGAACATGCACAACAAATCATCCAATTTTTATTCAAAATCTGGGAGGTTTTCTAGCATCGTAAAGGCTGACACTGAAAAGATGTTGGCCATAAGAAGCTGTGAGTCTACAGATGCTATATATTTACCAATGTTTACATGCTTAGATAAGCATTTAGGAACACTGTGCAAATGATATATAAATGAATTTAATCCTATGTGTTAGTAAATATTAACTACTGGCTCCTCTTAGGTTTCTACCCTTCTTTCAGGAAGTTTATATCATTGGCTCTTATGTGAAAACAGTTTGTCCTTAGATATTAATTGCCATGTTTCCATTTTCCAATAAAAGACTTCAACATATATACTGAAAACTTTTATTTCAGTGTACTTACTTCCCCAAACATTTCACCATAGTATAACAGAAAAAGCAGAAAACAGAAACAAAACTCAAAAAATGTTTTAAGCATTTTATACAACTACCTTTCTTCCTTTCGTTCCTATTACTTTCAGTCCCATAAGACCCTGTAAAAAAAAACCCAAATGTTATTTTTTTTATTTTAAGAACACCTACAAAACAAGTTAATTGATGTTATACATAATAGGAATTTTTCATTTTTATTACCAATCTGAGACTACCTTAGGTCCAGGAGGTCCTGCTTTCCCTGGCATGCCCTACAAAAAAGGAAAGAAAAGAATTCTTAATTTAAAAAATTACAATCTTCAGCACCAATATAGGTGTTTTGAAGTACCCAGTTTTCACGTGAGGTATATCACTATTTTTATTCTTTCTTCCACCTTTACAACCGCAATTTGTTGTGAGTGACAGAATGTCTATACAGTCTAGTTGAAAACATACACATCTTTCTTTCTTACAGTTATACAAATTAGTATTTAAAGTGAACTTATAGGTAATAATTTGAAAATCAAAATTTATGCCTATTTATGTCCAACCTACATGGACAAGGATGCTTCTGAAAACATGGAAATTATCATGCATAAAAATAATCAAAAGAAACTGAAAAAAAAAAAATCAGATGTGTGCAGAAGGATATGTATTTCACATACACGTCTCTAGACCTTAAACAAGTCTGGGAGAGTCAGGTACTTGTATTTGTGTAATTCCATGGGTTTCTGGGAAAACCAAAGGTTAAAGTAACAAGTGAGACATAAGTTCATACTCACTGAAGCCCCTGGAGGGCCCTGTGGCCCAAGTTCCCCAGGATATCCTTGAGTACCCTGGGCACCCTGCATATTAGAAAAGAAACAGGAATAAATCTCCTGGCAAGATTATGAGCAAACCACAACACTTAAGTTCGATGAACTGAATAACAAATAGAGGAGCAGAACTCTCTCTGGATTTCCTTTTCATGTCTCAGGATAACACAGGAGTGTAATTCCTCCCCACTGCTTCATTGGTTGGCATATGTTTTGAAACATAAGAAAACATATCTGTTCTAAAACTAAACTACTCAAGTGAGGATATATGTCCTATTTAACTGTGGACGTTCCCATAATCCTTATAGTCCTATTGCTACCCCTAATAAGTCTTTAATCTTTTAAATATTCTATGCAATAAATTCTATACTTTAAAGCTTCATTTTCAAAGAAACGGAAAATTAAAAATTTTGATTTTCCTTTTACTGTCCTCCATTTATTGTAACAGTCAAGTGAAATGTCTGCTCTGCCTTCTCCTATTAATCTCCATCTTTTAAATACGGATCATACCGTCCTTTGTTAGTACCGCTCTAGAAGTTGAGCTGGTCTAATCTGTTCAATCTTACTTCATGGGCAATTTTTGCAGTTGGACTAGGATGGTCGTTGTAGGTCTTCCAACCACAAACTATTCTATTCTATTCTATTCTATTCTATTCTATTCTATTCTATTCTATATGTAGGGGTAAACCCCTAAATCTATGACCAGTTTTTCTCCATTTCTAAAATATTGTTGTTTGTCTACAACCTGACTTCCCTATCTCACTTTACTAACACATAATGGACACTACTGGTTCTGATGGCAAAATTAATTACTATTGTCTTGGTGTACTCTGTTTTGTAAAGTCAGAAGAAAGACTTTGAATATATTGTATTAAGCAGATTACATAAAGTTAATAATTTTTTTAAAGACAGAATTACTTTCTGGTTTTGAAATTAGTGAGATAATTGTAAAAAATACTGTATCTAGAGAAAATAATACATTAAAATTATATCTATTACATAAAAGTCATCTTAAAATACATACACACACCTATTATATATATATTTTTATATATATATATGTATGTATCTCTCTCTATATAAAAATCATAGTCTGAATTAATTCTGAATTACCTGAAGTCCAGGCATTCCTGGCAATCCAGGATCACCTTTTGCACCATACCCTTGGTTATATCCGTCTGCAGGGCACCCCTGGACAATTAGATAAAAAGGAAGATAAAAAGTTATGCTGTAGAACTCCACAGTGGAACAAATCTTCTAATATAATTTGTAGGGAAATAAGGAACATCAGGATTGCATAATGATGGCAACTGTCCACTATGGATAGTTCTACCTTTAAAAAAGATTTTATTAAACAGAATATACCTTTTCAGGCATTCCAGTTCTCTGTTAGGAGCAGTCTTCATTTCAGACATACCTACATTACTCACCCACAGTCCTGACCTTCAATTTTTCTTTGGTACTTTTTATCCCTTTAAAATACTCTCTAGTGCATCTGCAGATTTCCATACTTATTCATAAGCTGTTTGGGGGAGGGGCTTAGTTCTTCGTGTGCTTGAAAGTGTTAAATTCATTACATGCAATAACAGTAGTTCAAGGGAAAAAAAAAATGTATACACTGTTTTGTAACCCAGGGTGAATGCAACTAGTACAGATGAAGCACCAAAGAGTTTGTGGTTGCTGCTTCTGGAAAGCAGACCTTCTGCTTCCCATGAATGGAGATGTTAGGAACTCTTTTCCAGCAGTGAACATACACGCAAACTGTTGATCACCAATAAATATTTCACGTAATATGGTGTAAATAACTGACCTTCTCTCCTTTGGTGCCAGCAATACCCTAGGGAGAAGAACAATCATATTATTAAAGCAGAAAAGCAAAAGAGACAATGGTGAAAGGACACATTCTCAATATTCTCTAAGCTCAGTGCTCTTGAAGTGATTTATTTTCATGGACATGGTGTATAGCCAGGTAAATAAATAAATAAATAAAATCAGGAGGGCTGGGGAAGTAAAATAATGTTTAGAAGTTATTAGATTTGAAGCCACTGGAACTTGACAGACAGCATTCCTTTTCCATTTGTTGTTTAGAAGTTTCTTTTAAAAACACATTTCTAAAGAGAAAAAACAAACCCCAGGGTTAAAGCAATGCAGCCATAACGAGAAGTTTTGGGTTTAATTCCTGGTTCTTATTGACTTAATTAGGCCATACCCTCAAAGGTATTTAGCCATGAACTGAAACTGCAATCTATTAAATATATATTAGACACCTTTAGAGATGCGTGTGGTAAATTTTCATGAGTATCCCTTGAGACACTGAAGAGCTAACACCAGTCAATGAATTTGCATGCACTCATTAACTAAGAAGTTGAGGCCCAACATGCAGCAGATAAAGCATTACTTTTAACTTTGGTTTCTTTACCACACAGTTTTCATATTAATAAAATGGGGATACCTATATATTTCAACTGTTGTCAATACCAGCTAATGTGAGGCTTTACACTCCTTCAGTGAATGGCTTTATGTGGTAGAAATGCACACAATCATGAATTTCACAAACACCTACTGGAACGCCTGGAGCACCTCTTCTACCTGGAGGACCTGGAAAACCTCGATCGCCCTGAAAGTAGTAAGAGTGACTGTTAATGCATTTTATTGTTTATTATTTGGCCTGATTTTAGCAAATGTGATTACAAAAGAAGTGTTTTACGTTATCATACCAAAATTGTGAGTTGCATTATCACCATATTTGCTAGAAGGGGCACAGCCTGACTGTACGGGCCTTGACTTCTAGCCCAGACACCAGACTTTATTAGCTGTGTCAGATCAGTTCACTGTTTCACTAGAAATGTATGATTTTTTGTAGTAGGCATTCTTCTGACTCCCTCTCTCAGAATGCTGGAAGCATTTGCTCATAGAGCAAAGAAAAACTAGTAAACCTTTAACTTAACATTAAGCCTTTTCTTTTAATTGCTTTCAGGACTTACGAATTGTCAACTGCAAGCTAGATACTGGTGAAATAAAATTAATTAACTATCTATCTCTTCTATAACCCATTTCAACAGAAGGACAGGATGGACAAAACTGATTAGGTCTTCTGGATTTAATGAAAAAAGTTTTATCTGTCAAAATATCAAATATTATTCTTAACTTTTTAGCAAAGGCCATTAACATGTATTATTTAATTATCTATCCCACACAAAAAGCCAGCACTTATCCTTCCTCTGGCCTCATGATTCAAATTTTTCCTAGTTGATAAAGTCACAATCCAAAACAAATCAAAGTTGTTGTATATCGGTGGAAAAATTCAGAATGCTTTTTGGCCGTTCCTAAGCATAGCCAAACACAGTCTCCGTAACATTCAGCTTGGTTTGTACCTTTGTGCCATTGCATCCCGGAACACCCGAGCGCCCAGGAGGACCAACAGTTCCCGGTTCACCCTAAAAAGAAGTGCAAAATTGACACAAGCTTTGTTTTCACACATTCATATTCCCCTACAGCAACACTGAAAGAGTTTATCTTGGAGTAGTGTTTCACAAGACTTGACAGATTACAATGTGTTCTTAAATCATTACAATGAGTAAGAACTGCTGATGCCAAGATTGCTACCTCTAGGCTAACTGGCAGAGACAATGCTGATGTTGAGACTAGAGTGAGCACATTGGGCTGCGGATAACTGTGTACTGAAGACTGTAGTAAGAGAGAAATGGTTAAATCAGTTTTGGTTTTACTTACTGGAAGGCCTGGGGGACCTGAAAATCCAGGTATTCCTGCGACTCCCTAATGATATAAAAACAGGAATAAAATTACAAATATTAAGCAAAAGCTCATGATGCAGGTTTCCTTTTGATCGCATTCATAAGAAGAATGAATGCAAGTATGATTCTATCAAAAGATCATTATTTCCTTAACCCTTCTGACTGTGAACCAAGTATAATGGTAGTTTATGCACTGTTAACATAGACTGGTTTCGCCACAGAAAAAAAACCCAAAACAACTCTTCATGGAATTCTAGTCTGACTTTTTCACAGCACACCCCAATACTAAATACATACAGCATGAACCTTGTACATACGGTGTAGCAAAAAAGGCAAAAGTTCTAAAAAACAGATAATGCATGTGCATACTCCGTGTCATAAATTTTACAAGTACTTTAAAATCATACATAATGTTTTCTTTTTATTTTTCACAAATTATTGAACCAATTTGGCATTTAACATGACATTTAATGCATACAAGTTTGTTTAAAATATAAATACTTACTCGTATACCTTTGGGTCCAACTAAGCCAGTAAGCCCTGGAGAACCCTAGATCACAAGTGGAAAACAACGTATTTCAATATAATTGAGAAAAAGCACATGTATGTCAACAGGACATGCAATATTTTTAATACCAACACATGCACACAAAACTATATAAATAAATGATTTGCCTATTACAGACACTAAAGCAAACAAGCATTTAATACAACTTGCATAAATCTTGGCATCTTACCCTCCTTTTCAGTGTTTACAGGGGATATATCTCATCATCAGTCAAAAAAGTAACAGTCAGGCTATGTTGAGAAAGCAGTTGCTATGGATCTGTTCAAACTGTGAGACCTGGAAGTGCTTCCCTATGAGGAAATAGCTGGAAGCCTCACCAGTACTCAGGAGAGCTTTTCAGCTCCCAGATATGGTGATGTTCATCTAATGCTCAGGTAGATGCATGTACCAACCACTCTCACCTGCACTGCTGTGCATGGAAAGGAAAGCCAGGAGCAGGCTGAAAGGGGGCTAGGCAGGGTGGGAGAGCAAGGCTGAAAGAAGACAGCAAAGCATGCCACAGCACAGTCTAGACAGAACCTGCTAGAATTGTTTCAAGACACTTAGAGCTTTACTGATAATAAGAAACTTTTATCGTTCCCTGAAAGGAAATGGGGAATGTACAGAACTGCATAGCTCCTAAAATCCTGGGTGACATTTCGTTTAAGATAATGTACAGGTGGTGAATAGGAAAAGCTAACTGGAATACACTACAATAGATAGCATTCAGGCTAACAGAGATGTTCTTGCAGACAAATTATCCTTACTTTTTGCCATTCTTGCAGAAGTTATTATCACTTATTAAAAGGGAAATGCTCTACTAAACACTTTCAATGAGTTCAAATAAATGGCTCATCAACATGTATGAGATCCACCATGAGTATCAGTTCCACAAAGTATTGTAAAAACGAGACAGGACAGAATAATGCAACAAGACCCAAACAAATTAAAACTATAAAAAACATTTGTTTAAAGGTTTGGATAAGTGCTGGAGCCACATTAGGCTAGGTCCTAGACATAATGTGATTGTGGCAGTACCTTCCTGATTTATACTGTGGCTGAGTTCACGCCATATTTAGACACAAATAATTTATTCACCAGAGTCAATTTATCGATGACAGCAGGAGTGCTGTTCCTCAAGACAAATAGAAATGAAATGTTTTTTAATGAGCAATTTATTTGTTTTTTCTGCTTGTGCAGGAGTCATTGAAAATTCATATTCAGCCTCAGTTTAGGCATACAGGAAAGAAAGAAATCCCAAGTCACCGAAGTCACTCTCCCCATACTGCAGGCAACTAGGTATTTCCTAAACAGACCAAGATTTATCTTAAAAACCATCTTTCCCTTCAAATTTTCTTAAATCTATTTTTCATATTTGTCTCAGTAGTAGCTTGTTTACTCTCTTTCCAGCAATAGATGTCAGAGTATACTGTTAGGACAAAATTGAGGTTATGCTGCTAAAATCTATTTAGACCCATGTTCATTGCCTCTGGCAGTTCAGTCCAGGTGCTTTAGCACTGGCCAATGGACAGCTGACAACAAAAGCCCACGTTCATATCAGCTACTTCAACTCTGTCAAAAATGACTGTTGCAGCTGGTGACCACACAACATCCCTCACCAAACAGGAGACTCTGAAACAGGTTTTGTTTTGATTTGGTTTTGTTTTTTAAAACAGAATTCTCTACCCAGTCATAGCTCACTTTCACAGTCAAGCACAGTAGTTTCTCTGTGTCTCTCTCTCTGTGTCTCACATACACACCTACCTTTGGTCCCTGGGGCCCTGGAGGCCCTTCTGGACCAGGAAAGCCTCTGTGACCAGGTGGACCTGGAACACCAGGAAAGCCTTTTTCACCCTGTAAACATTAAGAGAATGAAGTTCTTAAAATATCCATGAATTCTCCTTTTGATAACATTTCTAAGGTATTCATTACTTTCAGTACCTTTTAACTTCTACATATCTGTCTGCTACTGTGGCAGATATATTACCCTTGCCCACACTGACCTGTTTTTGTGGTCCCGCCTACGTGCTGCCTAGGCCACATGGTACCACTGAAGTAACATGCTCGTAAGTATGGTTGAAGAGATCAGAAGACAACAGTACTCAAGATTTTGCAGAGTACAGAAGTTAATTGGCAGCAGGAAAAGTTTAAGAAAGCAGCTGATACATATTCCTTGTTAATATTCTATATCGTGTTTAGTCCCTACAAGCAACACAAATCCAAATCCATCATAGCAGTCCTAATTTCTAGTTGGCAAACTTAATGGCTGCTGCTGTACAGCAAGTTCCAAATCATCAATACCTCTCTTCATGCAAGCCATGGAAAGGGTTGGAGTCAAATGCAACAAAACCATTCAGATAGAATAAAAGAAGTTTGCTTTAAGCAACAACTTTCAAAAATTGTTGAGTCTCAGAGATTAAGACACCCAATTACTTTTTCATGTGTCTTTTAAGGTCAAGTTCAAATAACCAAACCACGTAAAGGAAGCACAGAAGATTAAAGCTATGCAAATAGAATACAGGAGGCTAAGTTACAGTGGAAGGAGCACTTTCAGTTTTTTATTTAAATACAATGAAGATGCAAGTCTTATCTTGGTTAAAATAAAGTGCTTCAAGCCTAGAAACTCACAGAAAAGGTGTTTCAGCTCTTTACATAGCAGCAATTTAGCATGCTCAATTCTACATCAGTGAAGAGCCGCCTATTCAAGACCTTATATATCACAGCATGACACGGGAGAGAGAGGATGGGGTTATCGATTCTCTTAGAGTTGATTTTCCTATTGCTTTATCAGAGGAGAGTTATACAAAAAAGCATTTGAAATTCTGCTGTGCAGAAGTTCTGGTATCTTATTATTCGGTGCACAAGATAGGATCCAAAAGAAGTCTCGGGGAAGCCAAAATACCTTGGTTTCTCCCTCCACCAATTCTCGCCCCTCAAAATCCCACAAGCTCACCAGATTTTAAATAGGTTCTGAATTAAAAGAAAAAAAAAAGATAGAATATAAACCCAGAATATTTTAACACAAATCAAAATAAGAATTGCATTATGAAGTGTCTGTGAGATCTGTATCATAAACCGTCATAGCTTTTTATAACAAATCATTTATTTCATCCAGCAGTGTCCCAAGGAAGGCAAAAAAGGATAATGCTATACCAAGACGTGCCACTGGAGGGGGTGTGATACTAACTCACAAAAAACCGAAAGAAGCCCTTGATCTTCCTCCATTGAGCTTGCTACCCCCTCACTGCTCTCCAGCTACAGAGCAGCACTGTGCTCTCCTGACAGCTTCACTCCCCTCCATACAGTACAGGCAATTTTATCCACACTTTCTTCTTGACAGATCAACAAGATCAGAGGATTCTCGGGTTGGAGAATTTCTTAACATTGAACAGTTATCAAAACATATTGATTAATGTAATTGTCCTGACTTTCCAAAGCTGCCTGAAAAAAATTCCATCAGTGTAAACAATGATTACCTCTTACCTACTCATTGCTCCATTGCTTTAACATGGAACCGATGAAGACAAGTTGCAGGTGTTTATTCTTATTCATGTTTCTCTTTTAGTGGGCAGCTTATTTTTTTTCTAATTTTTCAATTGGTCTCAATTTTACTGGTTAGGACAAAGTCAGGTTAGACCAACTAAGAACATGAAAAATAAGCAGAGATTTTACTAAAGACATGAGTATTCTCCTTTCCCACTTATGAAAATATGTTTTAATAATGAGCATATTTACTTTGAGAGAACTTTTCTCCACCACTGAAATGAAGCTTCCTAAAGGCAAGACTAGTAGTGTTTACTGTGGTGCAACATTACATTTTGTCTTGGTAATAAAAGTACAGGAGGAAAGCCGTGAATAATTCTTTACCAGCCAGATGTGTCGATCGGTGGGACTAATCACAACCCTAAGCCTATACAGACATCTGGAATCTACTGATAAGGTTTAGTATGGCAATCACTGTGTCCACAGTTAGCCTGAATTACAGCCATGACTTCTTTAATAATGCCCCTTTCATTTGTGAATCAGTTGTTTTTCCAACTACAAGCAGGAGTTTGAAAGAATTTTTGGTATTTGTGTAATTCAGGTTTGTCTAAAAGCCACTCCGAGCCTCTGCCAAGCTACTGTTGGCAACAGGCAGAGCTGCGGCTCTGTTACTTTTGACGGATTTGATGCTGTTCCCTCACTGCTGGCAAGGTGTTTGTGATTAGGACCCAGAAACTCATCCCCTGTGTCGCTCTGCAGGAGATTTATCTGCTTGATGCCAGTGCATGTAGCTTTCCTTTAGGAACCAGAAAAGGGGGGGAGATGGGCAAGGTCCAAAGATGCAAAGAGGGAAGCACTGAACATGACACTCCTGATGGCATTATGAAATTTGTAACAGCAGAGCTGCTGCCAAGGTAATGGTATCTGTGGGCATTTGTTAGGAGTTTGTGAAAGGGACCTAGTGCTTTGGACAGCTGTTCTTCTGTTGGTGTTGAAACATCACACAATGCTGTAAACAAATGAATGCATTTAAAAAAAATAAATTTAAAAGTCATCTTAGTTAAACAATGTCCCCAGAGTTATTTTAGCACATTTTTGTAAGGTAATGTATTCCTTTTACAATTCTCTGTAGACAGAATACCATCACACAATAAATTCACTCACTGTATCAACTCAACTAATGGATTAACAATTTCCAGGTATAAGCTAATCTTAAAAAAGGAAAAATGTATTTGTTCTTACCTTATTACCTTTCATGCTATCACAAAAGCAGGGACTTTTACCTTTGCATACACAGCTCTGAAAAACAAAAAGACAAACTTTATAATAAAATTATTTTTCTCATTGTGTTATTTGGTGAGGGGCAAATGAGATCTCAGTGGTTTTAGTAAGGTAATTATTTCACAGATAATACAACTTCAAAAAAAAAAAGTTTGTGAAGAGTGGCAATTCTCAACAGCAGAAAAGAGCTCATTGTTCCTCTGTATTGTCTTTTGAGACAGATAAGGGCACTAGTTTAATTTTATAGTTGGGGTAAAGGCCAAGAAGCCGTGCTTAACACCACCAGGGTTATAATACCAGTATGAAGTGTAAAATTCAAGAGTTTGGGCTCACAGCACTAAACATCGATGATCCTTTAAAAAGCTTACTATAGAAACAAACACATATACTGATATTGTTTTAGATTACAATGATATTCTTTCTATTTTAATCTGTTAACCAATACTTTTTCTGACATTTTGTAGCTGCATTCACCTCCTGACCTTGGCTGATGGTACCCAATACAATTACAAAGGACGCTCAACTTTGCTGTTTCTTAATTCTGGAGGTTTCCTGAGCCAAGCTGCGTGGCAGTGAGTGCCCTCACACAGGGATGTCCCCACTCCTGCAGCAAGTCCTGGGCTGTAGCTGCTACCATCATGTCTGTGTCTTCAGGTGAGCCTGGAATTCAAAGCCCTCCTTGGAGGGCTGAGTGTTGAGTGACCTCTACTGCTGGAGTATAGCGTGGCTATCTGGGAGCAACTACAATCTGGGAAAATTCAATGATTAATCAAGTATGAAGAGATATTCAGTTTTTTTATTTTTCACACATAAGTGAAACAAACAAAAAACCGAAACAAGGCTATTCAGTATGTAACTGGATAGACAGCATGACTAAATTGGCTAGTTCATGTACTAGGTAGTTGTGGTAGCAGGGAGCTCAGCAGAGCTGCAAAGCACACCGGAGATCCTGGGTGAATATGAGAACACTTAACCCTTTTCTACACTCATGTAGAGATATCCTATTTCAGTGGAGTGGAGGAGGAAAAAAAAATCCTTTGTGAACATAAATAATATACTAAAATATCACTGAGGTTATTGAAGCCATGTATTTCATACAGATGTGGAGTAAACTGCATTTATTGTGCTTCTTTGTACACTTAAATTCTTTCCTTCATTTTTGAAGCTCTTGCTGAATGACTTTTTCAATTGTACCGCTGTAGAAAGAGGGCTATTTTTCAGTTTACCCTCCCACTTTAGTATATATGTTTATCAGAATGACCATATACTATCGTATAGTTACAGACAATAAGAAAGGGACAAATATCACATATTGGTTCTGAAGACATTTTTCTAAGTTGCATAAAATTCAGAAAAGAAGGAAGAACTGTATTTTTTTCTTACAAGATTAAAGCCTTTAAGATGGTATGATATGAAATTTCTATTTAGATCTTGAAGACAGAATTAATTAACCCCTACAGCTGGTCATAATACAACAGCAGCACTGTTCCAAATTTGTAACTTTTCCAGTGGTGTTCTGAAAAACAGTCAGAGGAAAAAAATGTTCTCCATTACATTTTAAAATGATAATGTCAGATTGTCATTAAATTTAAATTTTCCTGGAGCAATCTGTTCAGGTAAAACATTTTACAGAATTGAAAAGCGTATTTTCTTCCCACAAGCTAGGATCAATGTCTTCTATCTTTATCATCCAAAACTGAGGTGTGGGGTATGAGCTGGCTGCCTTCATTTCTTACACAGTTCATGGTGTTTGTCTCTTTCCATTGACTACACAAGGAAACTTGACACCTGGTTTGGAACGACTCATCCAGTCTCTTTAGGTGCCTCTTTTAGGATGGAGGAAAGATGCTGTAAGTACTTGCTGTTCTCTATGGACTAGACAACTACGGACAGTAGCTGCCCGTCTTTTAGGTGGCTGAAGTTAGGTGAGATGACGCCATCTATTAATTTAAACACAGATGCAGGGGGTATTCCTCAAGTGAACAGCTATTTAAACATTCATTTACAAAATAGAAGAGAAATTAGAATCAGTTGGCCATGAAAAGCAAATCCCCCAAGAAATTATTGTATCTGCCTGTGTTCTATAGACAGATCAATAGGTGATTACTTGATGTTTCAAGCTAGATTTTTAAAGAGTTGCAAACATTAAATACTTAATTCTTTGGCATATTTAAAGAAGAGTCTTTCCTTCCCTGATCTGACAGCTAGAATTCAAAATCAGAATTTTGGAAAATTTGGAATTTTGGAATTTGGAAAACAAAGGTGTCATGTAAAACAGAAACCATGTGACTATGCTACCTTTACTATTATTTTAATCAATATGATTATATCACCAGAGACACAAGAATAAACACTAGTGCAGAATTAACAACAAACTGTATCCTGATTTCTTCTCAGTGAGGTCTATCAGTTTGGCACTGGCTAATCTAAATTCACCAAGTAAGTTATATGACAGATATCTTAAGCCTTTAAGCATAAATACCAGAGGATAAAGTGACATATATCTCAAAATAAATTTGGAATAGTCTATAAGACGACCAATTTTCTTGTTCCCTATTCAGTAATGGTATCTTCCATCCCAAAGTATTCTCTTCAAAATAGGTGACACAGGTTATTGGTACATGTCTGCTAAGCAGTATAAAACCGGTAGCTGTTCAATGTTCAGCATCCCAAGGAAAGATGTAAACACAGTACACAATAAAAGTAGTCTTAAATTGCAGGCACTGCATTTTACTGCTGTATGGGGCTGGTGAGTGACTCAAGCTACCACATTCTTAGGCTTGCATATGAAAATTGTAAATTAACTACAAGACCTACGAGACACATTTACTCAGCAATCTCAACTGCTGAAGCAAAGATTTAGGTCACATATTTAGCAGACACATGTCTGAGTCCAGGAAAGGTGCTGTTTACTGAGGAAAAAATGCTTACAGTATTCCAAATTCTCTGAATTTCTTCAGTGTACCTGGGAGCATATCCTGGCTGACCATAGAGAGCTTTCCTGAGAAATAGCCACAGCTGGCTTCTAATCTTCCTAGTGCCAGTTATTTACCATTCTAATTCTACAGACCTTCATGGAGTCGCACCTTATTTCTACCTGTGAAAGTAAAGCTAGAAGCAGATTCTTTACAGTAGTTGTATGCAAAGCACAGTTTTCAGGACACGTAGAGAAATCACCAAATGAAATGACTCTTCTGTAATAGGTATAATCTGCAAAAGACTTGATATGTACAGATACAGAAGAAACTTTTTAACGTACAATCACAGATAATTCAATGTGAAGTTAAATGCATGAACATGTAGAAATTTATGATGCTACATAACTAAATAAAGTTATTAAACTATTTAAAGAAAAAGAGCCTTTGCTCTTCAAGAAGTCAGAATGCTTAGAATGTGTTTAATTTCCCATTAGTAAGCTTTCAGATCAATTTAGGTCTTTTTGTGTACACATATCACTTTAAACTAAACTGAAAAGACCAAAGATGATTTTACATTACACAGTTAGCTGGATAATACTTAATGTTTTGGCATATGATTTTTACATAAGATTAGATTCTGCCTTCTGTAAAGGAGCTTTGAACCAAAAAATCATTGCTTACTTATACTACTGGATGTTTCCACATCCTTGCAAGATGCTTGCAGCTCCATTATCAAAGGACCATAACAAAACAATAGTATATTGCTAGGTTGTAAGATAAGGAAATTGAATATTAGTTATTAATGGTTTATTCAAAATCCTCACAATAACATCTGCATAAGTAAACGCACTACCAAAGCCACAGGTTTACCACGTTTTTCAGTTTTGTGATTTTTATAATAACATCCTTGCAAGATGCTTGCAGCTCCATTATCAAAGGACCATAACAAAACAATAGTATATTGCTAGGTTGTAAGATAAGGAAATTGAATATTAGTTATTAATGGTTTATTCAAAATCCTCACAATAACATCTGCATAAGTAAACGCACTACCAAAGCCACAGGTTTACCACGTTTTTCAGTTTTGTGATTTTTATAATAATCACCTACTATTTCAAATAGCTTTCAGATCAATTTAGGTCTTTTTGTGTACACATATCACTTTAAACTAAACTGAAAAGACCAAAGATGATTTTACATTACACAGTTAGCTGGATAATACTTAATGTTTTGGCATATGATTTTTACATAAGATTAGATTCTGCCTTCTGTAAAGGAGCTTTGAACCAAAAAATCATTGCTTACTTATACTACTGGATGTTTCCACATCCTTGCAAGATGCTTGCAGCTCCATTATCAAAGGACCATAACAAAACAATAGTATATTGCTAGGTTGTAAGATAAGGAAATTGAATATTAGTTATTAATGGTTTATTCAAAATCCTCACAATAACATCTGCATAAGTAAACGCACTACCAAAGCCACAGGTTTACCACGTTTTTCAGTTTTGTGATTTTTATAATAATCACCTACATTTATTTCAAATATTTAGATACAGTAGATGGCACTAGATTTTTGATCTAAAAATCTAGGCCAAAGGATAAAGTCAGATCATTATATAAATCACAAATCAAATTAATTCACCAATGAACCAAAATTAAAAAAAAAAACCAACACTTTCTTGGAGTAATTTATAGAGGAGCTCCTTTCAAAAGTGTTTTGAGTGATAGTGGTAGTATTCTATGTTCTTTAAATAATTACAGTTGTACATGCTGAAGCACATTTTCTGCAGGGGTTAGTGTTTTGTTCAGTGGGTGCAACCTTATCTGTAACACCGAATTGCCCTTCCTTCACTATGGGATTGGATTCTATGGGGCTCTGACTTCTTCTTGCCCCCAGTTCAGAGACTAACTTAAGGATCTGTTTAGAAAGTGTTCCAGTCGTCTCCTTCACTGAATCCGTCAAAGAAACGACTAAGAAAGAAGGAAGAAATAACGTATGACAGACTACATTGTCACCTATACAAAGCTTAACGTAGCTTGGCACTGCTACTCCTACCATTGCAGTCATGGCAACTTAATTTGGAGTATCAGAGAGAA